AGGAGCGCATAAAGCCTGTATGGGAGACACTGAAAAGAAAAGGACAAAAATAAATTGAATCAAAGTGGAAACACTCTACAAAATGTAGACTGATTGCTTATTATTTGACTTCTTCTCCAGTGGAGACATAAGTTCAGTTGGCCTTGATGGAAGGAGAATGATGAGTTGATTAGTCAGTCCACTTGTGCTCTATGTCAGAGAGACCAGAGAAATACTCAGGCAACTTGAGAAATAGGCAAATTCCGAAATTATCTGGTCTGAAGACATTATCCTTTTGAACTAAGCTCTTCAAAAAACAATCACAACTGGTGTCTCCAAGCTTCTGTTTCTAGGAGACAAGCCTGCTTGTTCTCATCACATTAGCACACAGACAAGCAGCTCTTGAAGGAATCCTGGCAAAGAGCCTGTGAGACAAAATATTGGTGTGGACTGCACCTGCTATCACCAAACCTGGAGCAGAAAGGGAGTGTGTTGGGGAAAACATCACCTGAGGGAAAAAGTCGGTGCAGCAGTGGTGAAGGAAGACAGAACTGCAGATCCAAAGAAGAATTATGTGAATTCTGTGGCCCAGGATCCTGTTGGCTGTATGTCTCTATTAGCACTCTTCCTCAAGGTGGGGGCCTTCCCTTGTCATATTCTCCACAGTGTTTCTCTCCTTCTGCCCCATCCCAACCTGCATGTTCCTGAACAGTCACCCAGGACTCATTCCCTCTCTCTGCCCCAAGGCTGGGGTGGCAAAGGGCTCTGCGTCAGAAGGAGGAAGTCAGTGAAGAACAGGACTGCTCAGAGAAGTATGACTTCAGAAAATAATTTCATCTCCATGAGGGCAGGGATCCTCTTTTTGTTCATGAATATGTCTAAGCCATTAGAGAATAGTACCTGACTTATCAATTGCTCTTTTTTTAAATTTATTTTTTTAAATAAACATATAATGTATTTTTATCCCCAGGGGTACAGGTCTGTGAATCCCCAGGTTTACACATTTCACAGCACTCATCATAGCACATACCATCCCCAATGTCCATATCCCCACCACCCTCTCCCATCCCCCCTCCCCGCAGCAATCCTCAGTCTCTTTTTTGAGATTGAGTCTTTTATGGTTTGTCTCCCTCCCAATCCCATCTTCTTTCATTTTTTTCTTTTCCTAGCCCCCAACCCTATCAATTGCTCTTAATAAATATTTGTTAAATAAATTTTTTTTAAAGATTTTATTTATTTATTTGACAGAGAGAGATCACAAGCAGGCAGAGAGGCAGGCAGAGAGAGAGGAGGAAGCAGGCTCCCCGCTGAGCAGAGAGCCCGATGCGGGGCTCAATCCCAGAACTCTGAGATCATGACCTGAGCCGAAGGCAGCGGCTTAACCCACTGAGCCACCCAGGCGCCCCTTGTTAAATAAATTTTTAAATGAATGAACACACTTCTGAGTCCTAAACCCACCGTAATGGTGGCAAACTACTTCAACATTATTGAGCTCCACAGAAGAGGGAATCTTCCAGGATTTCTAAAATTTGATCATCTTACAGGATACCCAGGAAAGAACAATCTTCTATCTATTCTGGAGATTAGATCTGATTAGATCTGGATTCCGCCATCCTTGTTGGCCAAGCCCACAGGGGTTCTCTGAAGCTTCCAGATGGCACTCGGGCACTGCACGGCCTCAAATGGAGCAGAGGAACCTTCTGCGAGGCCAGGATCCCCAGGCCTGAAGTGCATCAGCTCTTTGAGGCCAGGAAGCAATGCCCAGCTCCTCTTGCAAGTAAGGCCAACAGCCTGGGCTCTCTTGCTAGGGTTGGTGCCCTCATTAATAATAAAGAGAATCGTGTCTCTTTCTCTTCTGCTTCTCCAAGCTTATTTTCTCAGAATTTATCCTGTCTCTAGGTTTTCAACTTTTGGAAACAAAAGCCAATAAAATTTCCAGACTTACTCTGCATTCTTCCCTGACTTCCCCCAGGAACTGAGACACAGAGCTTACTACCAACTTAAATGGTAGAATGGAAAGGGGAAATGAAGGATGGGGGGGAAAAAAAAAAACAACCCATAAATTTCTCAAAATACTGTCCAGCCATATGGGTTTTGAATCAGGTGCATAGAATTATGGCAATTGTGAGCCCTACAAGTCATTCAACTGACTACAAAAGCAGTTTAAAAGAAAGAACAGTTGTGTGTATCCTTCTCTGATATTACCAATGTAGAAAGGAAAGGGACTTTTTTTTTTTTTAAGATTTTATTTACTTATTTGACTGAGATCACAAGTAGGCAGAGAGGCAGGCGGGGTGGGGTGGCGGGGGTGGGGTGGGGAAAGCAGGCTCCCTGCTGAGCAGAGAGCCCAATGTGGGGCTGGATCCCAGGACCCTGAGATCATGACCTGAGCTGAAGGCAGAGGCTTAACCCACTGAGCCACCCAGATGCCTGGAAAGGGACATTTAGTAACAGGTTTTTTTAATTTGGCTTTGTTTTGTTTTAGGGTCTAATATCCTCCTATAACCAACAGCTCTGAAGAAACTATTTCTTCTAAAAATTATAATGATCAGAATTTCTTAGACTCCTTTCTGCTGTGATTTTGCTATGGCCTTTAGACAGCTTATATTTTAGCCCCAGTCACATCTTTGCTGTAATTTGAATATGTTCCATACTACAGATAGAGATCAGAATTCAATAGGACTGCCTAACTTTAAGCTTGGGCATAACCTGTGAGAAATCAATTAAAACAGTATTAATTATTACTCTTTCTGTGCCTTTTGGATACCTTTGTAATTTTTTTTTTACATTTTGAAACCAAACTGTATAATATAGGGGTGCTTTCAAAGTGAGTATTTATTTGGTTTTCTGTTGCAGGAAAGGGTAATTGAGAAATTGATGTGACTAATTCAAGGTCAGCTAACTTTGAGTTATCACTGTTGAAATAAGTCATGCTTTCTAAAATACTTTTTAGGGGCACCTGGGTGGCTCAGGTCATGATCTCAGGGTCCCACATTTGGCTCTCTGCTCAGTGGGGAGCCTGCTTCCCACTCTCTGCCTGCCTCTCTGCCTACTTGTGATCTCTGTCAAATAAATAAATAAAATCTTTAAAAAATAAAATACTTTTGAACATTATTTATTTCCTTTTTAAGCCAGTAAAAACTGTAAGAATCAACTATGCACCTTTTCTCATGCCAAGCTCAAGCCATAGGTCCAGGCCCATAAAATTTTAGCCATGTAATAATTCCCAAGGTTGAAATGTCCCCCCTTCTTCTATTGCTCCTATCTTTTGGAGACATATGACTTCCTGACGTGACTAAGTAATTAAACCACAACATGAAGTCATACTTTCAGGTATAAGATTACTAACATACCTGTAAAAACCACAGATAGCTACCTGTCTTATTACCAGAAACTTCAGAAATTAACGATAGCCTTTAAAAATATTCAGATCTTCCTGTGTTAGGTACTAAATAGAAAAAACTATATGCTGTGTGCTACACATACTTAAATATGTCTCTGATTAAAGTGGTGGGAAATAAAATTGCAGGTAAACAGATTATAATTGCAGATTTTAAGATATTTTGAATAGCAACACGTAAGAACACATCCTGCTTGTTAAGTATTTGGGATTTTATTGCATAACCTGTTGAATAAATATCTCAAATCCTATCACAATTACCATTTGGCAATGATAATCTCACTTTGCTAATAATTATACATGCAAATAAACTAATTTTTAAAATATTATTTCATTTTATTAAATGACTTTATAATGTTATAAAATGGAAAGGTCCTGGGGAGTAATTTGGCCAACAGCCCAGATGTCTGCTTCAGGACCCAGAGCTCTATCCCCCAGCTGCTGAGCTTATCGGTCGCTGATAGCTCACAGCTGAGTCCATTTCTGCGTCTAGTTCTCTGCCAAAGCCTTGCCCAAGGTTTTGCCTCCTTTCCAGGGACATCCCACATTTAATGGCTGGCCAATAGACAAAGCCTGTCCCTTAATTTAGAATGAATCTGAGAGGAAATCCCAGCTCCAGAGCTCCCCCCACCCCCAGGATTATTTGAGGCCCCTATTGCAAACTGTTCACAATTTAACTTCTCCCTCAGCTCAAGCCTGCCTCTATCACTCCATTACAGAGGTTTTTCCAAGAGTACACCCCAATGATCCTTCTGCACACGAATCTCCAACTCGACCTTACACAACTGGTACTGAAAGTGGTCCCAGAATCGAGACTCTAAAATAGGGTTTTGGAGCTGGTTTCCGTGCCAGCACGCGGGTTATGAGAAGCCCATCCCTGGTGAGTGGAGTATTGACAGCATCTGCCATGCTGTGGCAATGTGATTACTAATTTGAATCCACTTATACTAAAGCTGTGTCCCACCTGGTTACCTGTAATTGTTAAATAGATAAATAAAACTTGGGGTTTCCTGCATTTAATTTATTGTAGGGTTTGTTCCCGCTATAGCTTGGGCAAGACTGCCACCTACTGGAGAAACTAATGTATGCTGATGCCTGTGGCGCTCTCATCCGCAGGGAATCGCTCTCACGAGTTTGGGTCGCAACGCCAACTCCGTAACTCTCCATTAAGTTAAACCAATTTCTAACCCGTTACAACCTCTATGGACAACCTCTATGGAATTTTTGCATAGAATCAAGAATTCGAAGGAACTTGTGCACCACGATTTTTTCAGGTGAAAATTTAAACAAAATTTAACATCTGTAGAGAGCTACAGGTGCCAAGTGCTTTCATTCTTAGCCCTCACAAGAGCCCTGTGAGGTAGGAACTATTATCACAGACACACCTACGTTACGAATAAGTCAATAAAGTTTTAGCGAATTTAAGGTGACTGACGGTAAACACAGTCCCCACTTGGGTCGTCAGAACTCCAACGACTGCTGAGAACTCAAGCTCCGTAGCTAAGTGACCCACTCAGGCATGCGCAGAAAAACACGGAAGCAATTTCCGCAGAAATTGTAGGAGGCAGGCACTAAGTGGGGTGTGGCGAGAGCTATAAAATCCCAGCATTCCCCTCGTGCCGACGCCAAGATGGCGGCCCCCGTGTTGCGGTGCTTTTCCCGGGGCCGGTGGTTTGGGACCCCAGGCCCATCAGCAGTCTTGCTCCTGGGACCGCGTGAGGCCCATTCGGGCGCTCAGGGGTTGCTAGCGATGCAGAAGGCTCGCGGTCTTTTCAAGGAGTTCTTCCCCGAGAGGGGTACGAAGATAGAGCTCCCAGAGCTCTTTGACCGTGGCACGGGCAACTTTCCCCAGACCATCTACTGCGGTTTCGACCCCACGGCCGACTCGCTTCACGTGGGGCATCTGCTAGCGCTGCTGGGCCTGTTTCACTTCCAGCGAGCGGGCCACAATGTAATCGCACTGGTAGGAGGTGCCACCGCGCGCCTGGGAGACCCCAGCGGCCGTACCAAGGAGCGGGAAGCGCTGGAACCAGAGCGCGTGCGAAGCAATGCGCGTGCCCTACGCCAAGGGCTCGAGGCCATGGTGGCTAATCACCAGCAGCTCTTCGCGAATGGGCGGACCTGGGGAAGCTTCACCGTACTGGACAATGCGGCCTGGTACCAGAAGCAGCACCTGGTGGACTTCCTAACGGCTGTGGGTGGGCATTTCCGCATGGGCACGCTCCTGAGTCGTCAGAGCGTCCAAACCCGGCTCAAGAGTCCCGAGGGCATGAGCTTGGCAGAGTTTTTATACCAGGTGCTCCAGGCTTATGACTTTTATTATTTGTTCAAGCATTATGGATGCCGGGTCCAGTTGGGTGGATCTGATCAGCTGGGCAATATCGTGTCCGGATACGAGTTTATCCACAAGTAAGCTCCTTTAGACCCAGGAAAAATCTTGTGACCAAATAATTTACACGTGAATAGCCTGTGATCAACTATTACGATTGGGGAATGACGCCCTTTTTGAATCCTGGTGGGTTTTACTCCGCTAAGTCTGTAATGGTGTTAATGTGACTAGCTCACGAAAGTTGGGCTGAATTAATGATACTAGGCATGCAACGTATTCTTAGAGCTTTGCAGGAAATAGACCACTACTCGGAATACAGCTTGTGTATTTTGCTTCCCCTTAGTAACTCTGCTTTTCGTTGTTTATGCTTGAATGCGACCGTGTCTCCTAGAGTAGTTTCTGATTTAGCTCTGCAAGTCCCATGAAGCTAGTGTTAGTTTTTGGTTGGCATCTCAAATTTTTTTCCAACTCCAAATATTTGGCAAATAAGGTAGATTTTAATCGCATTTTCTTGAGGGAGTTCAACTACAGGGCTAACCCATGTGATAACTCATTTTTAAAATCCCTTAAAACATTCTTAGTGTCTCTACCTGATTTCCCCTTACCCAGTTTTCCTTCCTGTTCTCCCTCGGACTTCACAGTTTTCTAGGACCTAGTGATGCAGAAACGACCTCAGAGTTACTGGTTCCATTGCATTTTAGAATGACAGATGCTAAAACGGATTGAGTGCAGTTAAGAGGAACAATTCCTCCAATTAAGAGGAACAAAAATTCAGATTTACAAAGTAGAGAAGTTTTCTTAGAGCAAGAGACCAGAATGAAATCTGAAGAAGAATTTGCAGAACTTACCATCACTTGTGCTTGAAGCACATAATGAAGTTTTTCTTTATGCTTAGGTTGACTGGAGAAGATGTATTTGGAATCACTGTTCCTCTAATTACAAGTACAACCGGAGCAAAATTGGGAAAGTCGGCTGGTAATGCTGTTTGGCTAAGCCGAGAGAAGACCTCTCCATTTGAATTGTATCAGTTCTTTGTCCGGCAGCAGGATGATTTGGTAGAAAGGTGAGTTCTTAATAGTATCCTGAGAAAAATTAACTTTATAAACTCATAATTTTAGCCATTGAATCTCTATGTTTATAGTTTCTGTGTTTTTGTTTTCATTTAGATTTTCGTTTAAGACACAGAACATTGCAATTTTAACTCTTCTGAACAGTTTTTTGTTGGTTAGATCAGAAAACCACTGTGATTGATGAAAACTTCGAGCCAAATTTGTGATCTACATCTAACAAGTACTTAAGACATTACCACTTGTGTATTCTAGTTTTTTCACTCCTTTTATCATCAACTTGGACTAAACCTGATTTTACCTTTGTCTCTAAAGTTTGTTTTCTTTATTACATCTTTTGAAAATCCTTTTTAAAAAATGATTTTCTCATTAATTCACATCTTAAACTCTTCAAAGAATATAAATTAATGAGAAAAATACACCTGCAACAAAAAAAGGTGAATTTAACCAAAAATAACTTTTCCAGAGTGGAAAATATGCCTTATCAAACTACAATAATTAAGGTTTTTTCCTTTAGATTTATTTCAAACATTTGATGATACACTTCAGGGTTTTGATGTATCAAGAATTGACATCTGGAAAGTTTCCTTTTCTATTTGGCTCTAATGTATAAAAATACAGTTAATTTCTATGACTAAATGTGTATCCAGCAACTCTTCTAAAATCTTAATTCTAGTAATTTTTGGTTTTAAAGCACAAGCTTAAATTTAAGATTTAGTAAAGAGACTAATGGAAAAGATTAGAGAATCCAAGTGGACTCCAGCGTCTGTGGTCACGTGATCTCTTTGGCACTGCAGAACATCGGGATAAAACAATCTTTTCAGTAAATTTCACTTAGATAATTAGATGTCTTATGTGGGGAAAATAATGAAACTTAGTCTCACACGGTTTGCAAAAATCAGTTCCAGGTAGATTATCAACCTAACAGTTAACAAAAGATAAATCATGTGTTCAGAAGATAAATAGGAAAATATCTTTATAACTGGGATAGGGAAAGATTCTTAAATGAGATACAAATAAAGATTTGACTAAATTACAATTAAGATCTACTGTTCATTGAAGTCACCATTAACAGTAGAAGAATATCCATTACATGTACTAAAAGTGTAAAGAGCTTATACTCAAATTCCATAAACCAATAAGAAAAGATAACCCAATAGAAACATAAGTAGAGGCTTGAGCATGCACTTCAGATAGATTTTGCCCAAAAGACCCAAAACATCTGAGAAGGTTGCTCAGCCTTAATAATGAGGAGAAAATGCAAGATAGAGATACAATTAAATACTGTTATGTACCCTCCAGAATGGAGAAACAGAATTAGCAATACCAGGTGTTGGTGAGAATGTTCCAAGGTGGTGGGAGAGTGAACTTATTGTGGTATCAGTCTCAGCCAATTGCTAGTGATGCTATTGACTAGAAATGCTTGAGGAACTCCCCTGGGCACATACCATTTGTGGCAAGCCCCACAGACCTTTCCCTGACCAGAGCCAGTGTTGAGGCTGGACTGGCCTTTGTGGTTCTTATGATTGCCGGATGCATCTCAGCAGCAACCATCAGGGAAATCTGAAAAACAAAATTTCTTACTCACAGGTCCTGGAGGGCCACACAGAAGGCCCTGGGTAGAGAGAGGGAGGGAGTGTGGACTTAGGCCACAGCCTTATTGTAGACAAAGGGTGGGGTGCCTAGGGCTTTGTAGGTTCACCCTTTATTGGGAAATTTAAAACATAAATGCAAGAATTAGGGACAGGAAGGGGAGAAACAGGGTCACTCAAGTGGTCAGTTATCTAGGGCTTTCTAGAAGAGAAACTTCATGAGTAAGGGTGGCCTGGTAATGGATCTAGTTGGTTTGCTACTAACTGTATCATAACAGCTGGCAGTATGTTTATTCAAAATAAACGTCTTTAAAATGGATAATTTGGCAATTAAAGTGTCAGGCACTTAGAGGCATCAGATTTTTTTTTTTGTCCTTTTTTTCTAATTGAAGTATAGTTGACATACTGTATTAGATTAGTTTCCAATGTGCAACATAGTGATTTGACATTTTATATACATTATGAAGTGGTCATCACAATAATTGTAGTCACTGGCTGCCGTATTACAAAATTATTATATTACTGCCTGTATTGCCTGTGCTGTACTTTTCATCCCTGTGACTTTCTTTTATTTATTTATTTTTAAAATTATTTATTTATTTATTTGACAGAGAAAGAGATCACAAGTAGGCATAGAGGCAGGCAGAGAGAGGGAGAAGCAGGCTCCCTGCTGAGCAGAGAGCCCGATGCGGGGCTTGATCCCAGGGCCCTGGGATCATGACCTGAGCTAAAGGCAGAGGCTTTAAACCCACTGAGCCACCCAGGCGCCCCACTTCCTTATTTTATAACTGGACGTTTGTATATCTTAATCCCCTTCATCTGTTCACCCATCCCCTCCACTCTGGCAACCACCAGTTCTCTGTATTTATAAGTCTGTTTCTGTTTTATCTGTTCATTTGTTTCTTAGATTCCACATGCAAGTGAAATAATGGCATTTTTCTGAGTGACTTATTTCACTTAGCATAATACCCTCAAGGTCCACCCATGTTGTTGCAAATGACAAGATTTCTTTCTTTTTTACGGCTGAGTAATAGTAATATTCCATTTTTCTTTAGCCAGTCATCTATCAGTGGACACTTAGGTTGCTTCCATTTCTTGGCTGTTGTAAATACTACAGTGAAAATAGGTGTGCACGTATCTTGTTGAATTAGTGTTCTTGTTTTCTACAGGTAAATACCCAGAAGTGAAACTGCTGGATGGTATCAAATTTCTATTTTTAATTTTTTGAAGACCTCCCTACTCTTTTTTGTAGTGGCTATACCAGTTTATATTCCCCCCCAACAGTGCATGACAGTTCCCTTTCTCCACATTCTTGCCAAAACTTACTTCCTGTCTTTTTGATATTAGCCGTTCTGACAGGTGTGAGGCAGTATCTTATTGTGGTTTTGATTTGCATTTCCCTGATGATTTGTGATGTTGAGCATCTTTTCATGTGTTTGTTGGCTATCTCCTTTGGAAAAATGTCTGTGTTGTTGTTTTTTTTTGGTTTTTTTTTTGTTTTTTAATTTTTTTTAATCAGATTGTTTTTTAATCAGATTGTTTTCTGGTGTTGAGTTGTATAAGTTGTTTATCTATTTTGGTATTATCCCCTTATCAGATATATCATTTGCAAATATCTGCTCCCAATCAGCAGGTTGCTTTTTCGTTTTGTTGATAGTTTGCTTCATTGCGCAAGCTTTTTATTTTGGTGTATTCCCATTAGTTTACTTTTGCTGTTGTTGCTCTTGCCTGGGGAGAAAAATCCAAAAAATATTGCTAAGGTGGATGTCCCAAGAGTTCCTGCCTATTTCCTCTTAGGACTTTCATGGTTTCAGGTCTTACATTTTGGTCTTTAATCCATTTTGAGTTTATTTTTGTGTGTGGTGTGAGCAAGTGGTCAAGTTTCATTCTTTTGCATGTAGCTCTCCAGTTTTCCCAGCACCATTTATTAAAGAGACTGTCTTTTCCCCATTGCATATTCTTGCTCCTTTGTCATAGAATAATTGAACATATAGGCATAGGTTTATTTCTGGGCTCACTATTCTTTTGGTCTGTGTATATGTTTTAGGGCCAGTTCCCTACTGTTTTGATTATTATTGCTTTGTAGTATATCTTGAAATCTGAGTGTGATCCCTCCAGCTTTGTTATTTCTCAAGATTGCTTTGGTTATTTGAGCTCTTTCGTGGTTCCATACAGGTTTTAGGATTGTTTGTTCTTAATTCTGTGAAAAATGCTGTTGGTATGTTGATAGGGATTGCTTTAAATCTGTACTTCGCCCAAAAATAAATAAATAAAGACAGTATTTTGCTTTGGATAGTATGGACATTTTAACAATATTATTCCAACCTATGAGCATGGTACATTTTTCCATTTATTTGTGTCCTCTTTGGATTCTTTCATCAGTGTTTTATAGTTTTCAGAGTGCAGGTCTCTTACTCCTTCATTAAATTTATTCCTCAGTATTTTACTCTTTGATGCAGTTGTAAATGGGATTTTTTTTTTTAATTTCCTGGTCTGCTACTTTGTTGTTACTGTATAAAAATGGAACAGTTTTCTGTGTGTTAATTTGGATTCTGCAACTTTACTGAATTTATTTATTACTTCCAGTAGTTTTTTGGTGGAGTCTTTAGGGTTTTCTCCATATAGTATAAGTCATTTGCAAATAGTGACAGTTTTATTTCTTCCTTACCAGTTTGGGTGCCTTTTATTTCTTTTGGCTGTGGTAGGACTTCCAGTACTATGCTGAAATAAAGTGGCAGGTGGACATCACTGCCTTGTTCCTGATCTTAGTGAAAAGGCTTTGAGATTTTCACCAGTGAGTATGACGTTAGTTGTGGGTTTTTCATATATGGATTTTGGGGTATGTTCCCTGTAATCCCATGTGGGGCTCAGTTGAGAGTTTTTACCATAAATGGATATTGATTTTGTCAAATGCTTTTTCTACATCTAATGAGATAATCATATAGTTTTTTTATCTTTTGTTAATGTTGTGTATCATGTTGATTGATTTGCATAATTGAACCATCCTTATATCCTTGTAATAAATCCCATTGGACCATGGGGAATGACCCTTTTAATGTATTGTTGAATTCAGTCTGATAATATATGTGAGGATTTTTGCATCTGTGTTCATCAAGGATATATAGCCTGCAATATTCTTTTTTTTGATGTGTCTTTGTCTGATTTTAGTGTCAGGGTAATGCTGGCCTTATACTATGTATTTGGAAGCATTCATCTCTTCAGTTTTTTAATAGTTTGAGAAGAGTAGGTATTAGCTCTTTAAATGTTTGGTAGAATTCACATTTGAAACCATCTGGTCCAGGACTTTTGTTTCTTGGGAGGTTTTGATTTCTGATTCAGTTTCATTTCAAGTAACTGATCTGTTCAGATTTTCTATTTCTTCCTGATTGTCTTGGACGATTTTA